TCTTGGGCGACTCTGGGGCCGTCTTGGGGGCCTCTTGAGCCGTCTTGGAGCGCTCTTGGGGGCCTATTGAGCCGTCTTGAAACGTCGGACAGCCGAAAAGGCTGGAAGGCCAAAATCGTTCGAAAACCTTTGGAAAATTGACGATTTCGGCCTCTCGAAGCGCTCTGGAGAAGGGTCTTGAAGCGTCGTGGAGTGCCTTGGGGGGCCTCTCGGGCCGTCTTGGGCCTATCTTGGGCGTCCTGGAGCGGTCTTTCGGCGACTCGGACCCGCTTGGGCCGTCTTGGGAGCCTCTGGAGGCACTCCTGGACTATTTTGGACCTCCCCAGCCGCCCCGTCCTCCCATGGGGGGTCGGAGGCGGCGGCCTCCGAGGCCGAGGACGCGGAAACCCTGTAAAATCGCAGGGAAAATGAGCCCCGGTACCGCCATGGAGGGTCGAGGCACATGTTTTCGGGCCCCGGGCCTGCTCCCCCGGGATATATATATATATATATATATATATATATATATATATATATATATACATACATACATACATACATACATACATACATACATACATACATACATACATATATATATATATACACACATACATACATATACATACATACATACACATACATACACATACACATACATATACACACATATAAACATACAAACAAACATACATGCATACATACATACATGCATGCATACATACATACATACATACGTACAGACATACATACATACATACATACATACATACGTACGTACGTACGTACATACGTACATACACACACATACATACATACATACATACATACATACATACATACATACATACATACATACACACATACACACATACACCTACACACATACACACATACATACCTACATACATACATACCTACATACCTGCATACCTACCTACCTACCTACCTACCTACCTACCTACATACATGCATGCATGCATGCATACATACATACATATACACATACATGCATACATACATGCATGCATGCATGCATGTATGTATGCAGCCAACCATACATACATACATATAAACATATACATTTACATTTACATATATACATATATACATATATACATATATACATATATATACATATATACATATATACATGTTGAGGTTCTGGGTGAGGCGACGCGTCACCGTCGCAAAACAAAGCAACATCGGAAGATGTAGGCGGAATAATGAAAAGACAAGAGATCAAACACGAAGCCAAGAACGCCAGACGGAATGCATGGGAGCATGCCACTGCACCTTCCAAGACATTCAACCACCACGGAATTCGGTTGACACGGAATATGACCCACACGAATAGAAAGAAGCTGTGGGCTCACTTACTTTGTGTCCTTGCAAGAGGTGTCCGAAGCACATGGGTCCTGAAATCCCGAGCGGGAGCTTCAGGCCTAAGGGTCCGCGGACTCCATTTCGGCTCATGTCCCTGAAAAGCTGTATCCATGTCTGGGGCTTCTGAGAATCCAGGCGAAATCGCCTGGGTCCGCAAGTACGCGGTCTCGGCTCTGCTCCGACTGCTCTGAAGATCCCCCTGCTCCAAATCCTCCTCCAACTCCTTTCTCCTCCACCATTCTCACTTTGCGACTGCGCCACTCCCCCCTCTCTCTCCTGCCTCGTTTCCACCCTGATCCTCCTCTGCCTTCTAGCCCCCGCAATCCACATGTTCACTTTCTCTCTCACACTCTGCCGCTCTACCTCCTCACAGATCCGCGATGGCGTCGGCTCGATGCTCCTTTCTGATACCGCGTGGGTGGTCAAATCTTGCACGATCGAGGCTATCCGATAGTGCAAACTGTTCGACATCGGGGTTCAGTATTGGATGCCCTCGCTGGGGTCGCCGCCGCGTCAACGAGGCGCGAACCAAATTACCGCACGTCCCTGGCACGGTCCACCCTCGTCCATGGCTTCTGGATCCCAGGGCTTCGGAGAATCTGGGCGAACGCGTCCTAGACCCGCAGGTCCGCGGGCTCGGCTCTTGGCCTACCTGATCCTCCTTCGTCTCTTTCATGTTGCACCATCTTTGGTTGATGACTGCCTCGCTCCTCGCTTCTTCGTCGGCATCATATCCACTCCCCTGCCCCTCTGCCAAACACTTTCGCTCTCAAGCCATGGCACTCCACCTCCTCACCCTTCTACCTCTTCACCTCCGCACCTTACTTACCACACTCTTCCACCAATTATACCGGCCACCTTGGGGATGTAAGAACAAACAGATATCGATCAATACTGCTGCTCCCCGGACCTCTCCTGGGGTGTGACTGACCAAGCCATCGATGCGAATCAAACCATGGCATCGAGGACCGGGGGGGGGTTCGGGCGGGAGAGTAACAGTAACGGCGGCCGCGGCGTGCACCCGCTAGGGTGCGTCCTCGCCACCGGCGCCTCAATCGCCTGTGTGCACCACAGTATGTACCGGGGGGGGGGCCCAGGCCACTCCCCCCAATACGATCGTTAATGTTACCCGGGG